AATAAATATACATATGAATAGAAAAGTTGTCAGATAGTAAATGCGAAAACATTGTAAAATATATAATCTAAAATGCAAATATAGATAAATAAAAACTATATCATATTATCGTCATAATATTGTTGTTGTTATTTTATTCGATAGGTTGTTATTGAAATTTTTTATCGTGACCTATCTTTATCTATTCCGCTGATAGGGACAACCAAAAACACACTTTTTATAAAACATAGTCTTCATTTTTTGAAACCTGCTGCCCCCTCTTCAGCTGTTATGAATGCCCCGTTTCATGAATATAAGATAAAATGTCCAAAACTTAATAGGGATAATACCAATTTTGTAGTTTGCTGCGGATGGTTATCGAAAAGCCTTCTCTCCATTGCAACCAACATGTGTTTAATGGGATTGAGGTCTGGACACAATGGGGAAAGGGCAGGTAGGGAATTCCCAGGTTTTCTTAACATTGATGAACAACTCGGCCTCTATTATGTCTGGCATTGTCAACCAGAAATGGAAAATCCTAGCCAAAGAGATCCCTGGTTTGAGGGATGTATCCCCGATAATTTCTTGGACATAACGGACTGCGGTGAGGTTGTATTAAAAAATAAGGAGTCCAGTTGGTCCTCCAATGTAAATCCCCGCCCAGACCATTACACCGCCTATTCCAAACTTCACCGAAGTGAGCAAGAACTAGGGCATTGTACGTTGTTCTCAGATTCTTCGGCGCCTGCTGTCACTATGCAGACAGAAACACGCCGTAAACAACACCATTCCAATTGGTGTTCACTTCTAAGTGCTCGCTGCACCGTACTCTCCTGAGTTGCCAACTTCGCACAAACGATTCGCCAAAATATCTTGCACATCGTTTAAGAAATGGCGGGCACTAAGGAAAGGGGGGCAATGACAATATTGCTGTTCTCCCTTTGGATTGTAATGCGCTGAGATCCACTACCCGGCCTCCTATTGGCACTTCCAGTCTCTCGGAATCGGGCTAAAGCCCGGGAGACCAAATTCCGAGAAACACCAACTGCATCTGCAATATTCACCTACAGGTAACCTCAATGATTCATTCTCACAATAATATTGCGAACTTCTGGTTCTAGACGATGTCTTTCTATGGTTTCAAGGAATACAACTGGATTAAAATGGAGAAAATAGATTTTTATTGAGTCATCTTTATGTTTACTATTTTTAAGTAAATCTTTTTTAAAAATGAGGATTAACATTTTTTGTTTTTGGTTCGTATTTTCTTTTCCGTTTTATCAAACTAACAAGAAAATATCGGCTAATTTAACTAAAATTAATATAATAAGAATAAATTACAAATATCCCTATTTATTTTTGAGCAGTTTACATACACACGTACCGAGAGTTGAGCAAATTACTTATCGCAATCCACAGGCAATTACACGCAGGGTGTTGGCACTCCGGGGTCAGACCGCGGTCTTGTCCGTTCATCATGTAGGTAACATTGTGCTAGGTAGAAGGTGATAACATTAACAGGTTAGTCGGCCCACTCACATTACACATTCACGCTGATAAACAACAACACATTCGCTCTCAACACACATTTGGGTACACAACAATATGAGCATTACATAGAATAAAACAATCCTGTTTCCTCCGAAGAAATATTGAACAATTATTACTCTATGTTAACAGTTTTCTAGAATCGCTTAGAGCAAGGTGGATAGAGTAAAGAAAATATTAATGATGTAAGCTTTGGAAGTGTTATAAATCGTCGCTAATTTCGCTTTCCGGGAAGAAATATGTTTCTTAGGGTTTATGTTGGTAGGTAAAGCTTTAAAATTTCAACCACCAGTCGGTTTTTCATTTCGCTCGATTTGGTGGCTCTTCAAGGCCGGGGTGAAAATGTTTTCCAGGAACCGCGATGAATTTTAAACCGAATAAATATCGGTATCAGTTACAATTCTGCTAAATGTTTACACAGATTTTCAAGTCTGAGATTTAGATCTGGATCCGGTATAAAAAGTGATAGAATTGTTAGAGGAGCTGATTTGATTAAACACCACCGATCCGATCAAAACGTTCTGAATAAATTACTTTTAAGACCGTTCTTTCCACGGTTTTTCTAATTAAAATCGAAACACTTCAAACGACTAAATCGATTTGGGTATCAAGTTGAACAAAAAATTAATAAACTGCAGACTAGACTTATATCCGTGTGAATGTATAAAAACACAAATATCGATAAATTAGATAGGTCGGATTGTTAATTCACTTATCTACAGTACAATGATAGAATATACAGATTGTATTCTTAGAAACAGTAAAGAGATAATAAATAATTGGGTAGATAGTTCAGAAAATTCGGCAAACATGGCAAATAACGAAATGAACTTCAAAACGAAAAACAAACAGATTGCCCAAACTGATGGGGCGAATAGCTTTGAACTGATTACCATCATACAGAAAGTTCCCTCGTACTGACAACAATAATTTAAAAATCATTTTTAAATATAAAGTAAGTGGATCCGCCTTTAAGATTATCTAACGTGGTTTACTCTATCCCTTGTAAAAATTGTCCCTTATTTTATTATGATCAGACAAAGCAATACTTAGATACGAGATTGACACAACACAGATACGATTGTTATGTCACAGTAACTAGGATCAGCTTTGTCAAGGCATCACCGTCAAACCAATCATGAAATAAACTTCGATGGTGTGGATGCTGTTGACCCAGAGATAAATTTAAGGCAGAAATTAATTAAATAAAAGCTACATATTAAATCAGATAATAATTCACTCAATTTAAGAAGTGATACTAATACTCTTAGCGCCATCTACAGTGGCCTAATTTAGTCTCTTCTCATTGCGATGGTCATTCTGGGAAGGTAGCCTTCCATTTGGTAAATTATATAAAACAGATAGAGCCACGTTTAATATTTTTGATGTCAATGAGCTTTAAGGAGAAATTTTAAACAGATGTTTGTTATTTACTTCATATTTATGAAAAGTATTGGTTGAGATAAAAAAGTCAGTTCACGAGCGGATTCTTCGGCTAAATTGGCCGCTGCTCTACCACTTGGGCTATCGTGACTTGGATCAGTCAGCGGGCTCGAATCCCGCTCGTGACACTGACTTTTTTATCTCAACCAATACCTTTCATAAATATTAATTAATTGAGAAAAGTTAATTGGTCAATCGGACCACGAACTGTAATAGATTTGTTATTTACGTCTTTAATATTATTAATAGTAATAACAAATTTGTATTTAAAATTTCTTCTTAAAGCTCATCGATACATCAAAAATATCAAACGTGGCTGTGTCTATTTTATATAATTAACTAAATGGAAGGTAACCAATATTATAGTTAAAGACATATATTGTGACGAGCAAGTTATCTAATGTTTTCTATCAGTACTTATGTTTCTATTATTAATTATAAACGCTGTAATTGTCTGACGAGCCCTGCTGAAAATGTCAATAAAGGTTGTAAGCTTGGCGTAAGTTTGAAGATCTGCTTCTTGTGATGACTGTATCCCTGATTTTCAATTTATTGCTTACTACCATGATTGCTTTGTTAATTTCAATCAATACATAAAAACATTTATTGATATGATTTAATAGTAGTTAAAATAGTGAAAATTCTCTATAAAATCAAGTGAGATCGAAATAATGACGAATTTTAAATAATTAGTAAATGAGAATAATAAGGCCGAAATTAAGATTAAAATGCTAAATAATTATGTAGGTGAATAAATACATAAATATGACCAATATGTTCATGATCGATAAATAGCTATGTTTTTAAAATTTGTTTTTTCTTCTTAAGCTGCCGGGACTTCGAAGGTTGGCCATTTACATCCATGAATAACCTTCAAAACTTTCAATTGTGAGTTTGAATATATTGACGATATTGTCACGGACCAATTGATTTCTTTCCTCGAATTTTCAATTATCTGTTTGAAGAGTTTGTATCATTCTTCGCGCAAAATGTGTCCTAAATATGTATAAGTAAGTATAAAGTAAGTTTTAACTCTTTCAGGGATGGCAGAAATTTTGTTGTTTTGCTTACTCTGCCTCTTTATTGGAAACGTTTTGTATCCATAAAATCTTTTCAAGCCGCAATTTTTTTTTCACATCCACTTAGCAGGAAGGCATCTCAGCATGGAATTATTTTAAATATAATTTTATTTTTGAGTTGTTATTGAAAATCGCAAGTATTTTAGCCAGTCAGAAAAACAGACAAAGAACGTAGACTAAATCTTTTTGTTGATAATAGATTTCTAAAATTAAATACTTTTCGCTTTAGTTTAAAATGGTCGTAAATCTTGACTGGATTTAAAAGCTAACCATGGACTAGTTAACTACAATGGAGGACGCATTATAAGAGGAAAAGTGTTTTTTTTTGTAACCCTAACTTGACATAGATGTTTTGTGACCGCTTCATGCATCCAACATTTTTGGTTATCACATCGATTTTTTATAACCCGGTTCGTTGATTTTTGCCTATTTTATAGGTTCCATTTCATTCCGGTATTGAATGAACGGCCGTAAATTTTCCGCGTGGATTTGGCTAGTCTCTCTTAGACCATTCGACGGAGAGATGGAACGTGAATAAGCCGACCCAGATAGATGACCAGTAACGGCCAATTAGTCAACATAAAACGACGATACATTCGCAGGCCCCCAATCACCGCAATAGTTTTATGCGGGGCTGCTTTTCATTAATAGATGTTTTGCTATCCTAGCTATCCTGAAAACTAGTTTCAGTTGACTGTCTATAGATCATGGTAGGAACAAATGAGAACAAAATTTTATCTGTTTGATGATGGTCGTAAAAACGATTTTTGTTGTCTGAAAGTTTATTCAGCGAAGTTCAAATCGACCGGAACGCTCTGCCCTGTTGGAAGTTGAGAGGCCCGACGTGACGGAGAGTGGCATTCTTAAGCAATCGTTCTAATGCTGAATAATTGCAAATGTAGCGTTATCCGGCGATCGCAACAAAATTATATAAATAATTAATTAATTTACCTTTTTAGTGGAATGCTTGTGGTATCGTCCTGGATGCAGCATGCAAGCGTACCTGTCCACGGCCATGCAGACCAAAATGGCTGCGCTTTGCTGCGTCAATGCTCCTCGCAGTAACGCCTGAAAAACATTTTCCTATTATTAAATTATCTTATCTCCTTTTTATTTCTCTTTCTCTTGTTTGGATTATGTGATATTAATAAATTGTTGTCTGTATTCCTAATAAATTTTACTTCTTAAGCGAAAAGGAGAAATCAGTAACAAAAAAAGATTATTTCAGCGATATCGTGGAATCGACAAAATTCTAAATTTGAATGGGTACTGGGCTTGTTGTTTTGAGAGGTAAGATTTGTGACACATCAAATTCTATTATTCAGACTAACACATGCTTTTGTAAAGCCCATTTCCCACTTTGTTGACGACTTCCGAACGAACGCAGGACTGAACTATCGCTGGACAATTCGACTTTAAGGTGATGAGTCGGTTCCGGCTCCAAATGGACAAAATGAGCCAGGAAGAGTTTGAAAACTATTCGTCATAAATCCCATTAAAAGAGTTTTCTGTAAGTTTAAAATCCAGTGGACAAACGATTGATGTTGGGTTTAGCGTATTTACCTTGACTGTAAGCGATTTTGCTATGGAATGACTGCGCAGAATTTGCTCTTTAAATGCTACCAACATTAGTATGCACGGAGCAATAAGAAAGATGATGGTGCATTGTCCCCATTTTAAAACATTACTTGCTTTTAATGGAATAATCACTGTAAAAAGGGAAAAAACACCAACGGAAATTATATGAGGCAATATTTATCAACGAAGAAAACAAAAGTCAATTATAAAACTGAACGCACCTGACCGAGTGAATGTTTCAATCACTTATTAAAATATAGGGTTTTTGTTCTTTAAGCTAAGGTTAATAAGGATAATAGTTTAATTAAAGACTATAGATTAATAACGTATATTATATTGTGAGAAGGTTTCTCTCATTCTATTGATGCCATTTGTTTATGTTTATATTTGAATTATTAATCTTAATCTAATCGTACTCTTGTAAGTAGTTTTTAAATCAATAAAATATAAAATTAATTACAATTAATTAAGGTTTTTGGTTAAGATAAAAAAGTCAATGGCACGAGCGGATTCGAACCCACGATCTTCGGCTAGATACGCCGCTGCTCTACCACATGAGCTATCGCGACCTCGATCCACTCGGACACTAACTTCCCATCTCAACCCCACCTTTTGAATTTTCCCTCCTTTTTGCCATTTTTCAAATGTCGTGTAATCGGATTGGATTCTCGACGACAAATGAAATAGCCACGGAGAGCTTTAGTGAAGTATACTTCATTTTAAATCATTATATTCACTAATTTCGTGGTCCGCTTGACCTAGTTAATATATTACAATATTATTGTCGTCGGGAATCCAATCCGATTACACGACATTTGAAAAACGGCAAAAAGGAGGAAAATTCAAAAGGTGGGGTTGAGATGGGAAGTTAGTGTCCGAGTGAATCGAGGTCGCGATAGCTCAAGTGGTAGAGCAGCGGCGTATCAAGCCGAAGATCGTGGGTTCGAATCCCGCTCGTGCCATTGACTTTTTTTTCTTAACCAAAGACCTTAATTAATTGTAATATATTAATTGGTCAAGCGGACCACGAAATTAGTGAATATAAAATTAATCATAACATTTTTAGACCTTTTTGCCTTAGAAGATGAGTTAATTGATACGTCTGGCAAGGAAGCCCTGACAGATCCCATCGAATTCCAAAGAATAATAAACTGTCATATCTGGACAAAATAGTTTTGAGCCAAAGCCTGCGTATGTTATGGCATGTAGAGAAAGGTTGCCCGTTGCTCGACTTGTTACTTGACTAGTTGAAGGGTGCATTTCCTTGGCTCCATATAGAGAGCGTGTAGAATTGCAACCCTACAGATTACAATCGTGCTTGAGCAGGGCAGCGAGTCTCTAGGCCCCCTTTTTCTATTTTCAGAAGAAACAAGATTGTTTTGTATCCCTAGCGTGTGTTGAGTGTGATTGTAACGATTGGCGAGAATATGTAGTTTGAGAAGGCCGCTGGTGGAATATTGAGTGCCCATCGGCCTATCCATCCTCAATTAGGCTAGTTATATAATAGTTGTAGTGGGTGGTGAAGAACTATCAAGTTTTCACTACCCTCACTGAGTGAATGATATGTAAGTAAGAAAAAATGTATTTACGAGTGAGTAAGGGTTTCGTTTTAGAAACTGATTCCGTTAAAGGCTGAAATGGCCTTAATGTTGATAACCCTTGGATCCCAAACTCGACGGTTGCACAGATAAGATCGAGGTCTGACCCTGGACTCTCGTCACTCGTGGTGGGTGATTCTCCAAGTCTGCCGGTAATTTATTGTAAATTACAAAAGTTGAAACTGCCGTTGGACTGCGAGAAGTGTGATAGGCTCAACTCTGTACACGCGCATATATATAATGTGTCGGGGGGGGGGGTTAGTGTGGGTAACAGATTCGATCGAGCTTAGTGAAAGGCATTCTTGACTAAGTAATATAGACTAGTAAACTCTATCGTTGGGAACGTCATCGATTTGGTCTTCTACTTCATCATCAAAATGATTTATTGAAGGGAATTTATTGATCTTTTCCTTGGTTGGGACAGTTTTATTATATTTATCTTTTGTCGTTTGTTTTATAAAACATGTGTATCTCAATGTATATAAAACCTAAGTTTACATTTTTTCTCGTGAGTGGGTAGGTTGTGTTATTATGAAAAGTTTTGTTCCAGTAAAATATGCCAATGATAAAAATGAAATTCGTTATATTATGCTTACAACAGCTTATTACTTAATATAAAATGTTTTCTTTGAACTCGAATGTTTATTTGATAGACTAGTGTAACTAAATAATAATAAATAAAGAGAAGTCACTCAAATATCTGGAGGGACGCGATGCTGGTCACTATTCCTAGTGTCGGCAAAATATTGAGATCGTCAGATCAGCGTTTCTCGTTTCAAGTTTCTTTTCCTCAATTTACATCTACATAAGTCTAATTATTTATTTAAGATCTACCGAGTCCAAACGTATATTTGATATATTTAAATTTATGCCATAAAAACCTAAACTTTGACTTTGAAAACTTTTTGTGCATTCACATAAAATCCAGTTTCTTGTATAAAAACGAAAATAAGGTGTCATTATCTTCTCACATAAAAATTCTTCTAAAGTGATTATATAAGATCGAAATATTTATTTTGTCTAAACATTTCCAAAACCAGAATAGCTTGACTTTAAATTTTTCATCTTTATTTACATTTTAGATAGAAATTGTAATGAAATACGCTTGAAACGGTTTAAAATTATACATCATTTTGGCATAACGTATGTTTCATCATTGATGATTTAATTAACCTGTTATTTCTATTATGGCTGAATTGTGAAAATACTCTACAATATTCGTCTTTTGCATATGAACATAAACAGTTTGCTGCCATTTTTAATACCACTCCATTATGAGGATGACGGTCCAACAATTAATTTAGATAGTCCTGCTCAACAACGTTTTTAGCAAAAGTCAATTGTATTTTTACTTTTGAAAAAGTTTCGGTGGATTTTTGTTTACGAGAAAGGTTTAGGTAATATGCATATTTGGCGCACAAACGTAGTATTAATAGGTCATATAAATCGTTTATGTAACAAGTATGATATCATTCAGATTTCAGAAGTAACGAAAGAAGGTGAGCATCATTTGCCAAAAGGAATGTCTTTCTTATTCGATTCCATTACTATGACTAGTAATATTTTAATTCTTAGTTTTGCCTATTTAGATTGATATGAGAGTGAAAATTGTATAATGGTTTATATTCCAATCTTCATAACCTTCTTTTTAAAATGATAGTTCCTACACACTTTAGTAACTAGAAACTAACTGTTACTAACAGAATAGGAACTGTCTTTTTAAAAAGATTGAACAACTCATTCCATCATTTATCATTTCTACTTCAAAAACTTTTCAAATCCATACACAGACAACTCGAAAATTGTATAAACTGGGTTTTAATTTGCCATATGTTAATTTCCTTTCTCGTTTTCCTCATGGTAATTGGATTAATTTGAACTTTTTTCATTTACTCAGTTTTATTATTTATTTAGTAATCACTGTTTCTTCTAATCGCCAAAAGATTTATGTCGTGGATTTCCTAAGAGTGTGCAGTTCATTATTCTTCTTGGCAATCTTTTAAATAAAAAAAAATAATAATAAAAATGTCTATATACGCCTAATCATCACCTTTTATACATATATTCAAGCGGTGGGATTAAGCAGAAACTATAGTCATCATCTAAGTAAATGAATTTCACTACACTGCAACAATGTTTTTTTCAAATAAACTAGAAAAAATTGTAGAACAAAAAATACTTTTATAACTGAAGATAAAAGAAATCTCGTAGATTTTCTTATTCGATTAAATGCCTGTTAAGATTCGAAGTTTTGACGTAGCCATATTATTATTATTATTTTATGAAGTGGACTTGATTAAAATTGATTTAAAACAACTCCCGTAATTATTATAATCGTTGCATAAATAATTCAAATATTTTCTTATAAATGTTATTTTCTTTTCAATTAATTTACATTGTTAATGCAGTTTTTACGAATAATACTTTTAAAATTGTAATTAATTCATAAATTCATTAGGTTTTATAAATTTACTAAGGTAAAAATTATTTTTTTATTTATTTAGAAATCGTGAGATGCGGTCTGGTGTGATGTAGGTTTCAGAAAAACATTTTCTTTATCGTGCCAACGTTTCGATCTTTATTGAGATCATCTTCAAGGCCTGGGATTTACAAACATTGTTTACATATTACAATTACATTTTGGACGTGGAAAAGTGAATTTATACAATGCAAAATATATTTTTTTATATATTCAATCAAAGTATTTCAAAGTAATCACCTCACATTATTTTTTTATTTCATAAAATAAATCTCTGGCAATAGTAAAGTTAAAAAAAGTATTGCAATATTCTGTATTCAACAGGAACATCGTATAATTGCACTATCTATCACTTATTTTATGAAGGAAGGATATTGGAATGGTTTTAAGCTGGGTAATTATCCAAGACTACCATCCAATTAGCTCTGAAGTATCCATTTAAGTGACTGTAATCGCCAAAGTACTATCCTTATTCGGATGTGAAATTAAAGCAAATGCGATATGGAAAGGGTAATTGATTTCTACAAGTATCTGTTTTGGCTGAGAGTTGATAATAATAATCCTCCATTCTTAGCTTAGTCGGCCCATTTAAATAGATGATACTGCAGGTTTTCAACGAGTTTTCCACATTTTACCAACCGCCGAGAAAACCACTTTTAAAAATCCTTAGAATGTCTCACAACAAGAAAATAAACGATGCCCAGTCGGGGAAATGTGGGACGGGTCAGATACGCGAAGATCCATCAAGATCGTAACAGGTGCCGCAACTGGTTTCGATTGAATTGTCTCTTATTGTTGTATCAAAGTCATTCACGACTATAAATTTCAATTGAAGTTACAAAAAAATGAACTGTCCTGTCGTTAGGAAAACTATTGTTGGACAATTTGTATTTGAACTTTGCGTTATAAATTGAAATGATAATTATTGAAATAATGAATTGCGTACATTGCAAGAAGACCAAATCGGGGACAAAACAGCAAGTATAGGCGGACCAAAATTATCGGTAACGAGTGAATTATTAAGGAATATGATTATGAGACAGTTTTGTCACGGGCTGGCCAGGCAAAACAGTGACATTAATAAACAACAAATTAATCAATCATCCAAAATGAAATGACATTGTTATTTCCCACGTAATGTCTTAATCAGCCCTGCTTATCTGAAAATACGTGTCGCTCTCACAGTCGATATATCGTTATTTGTTTTTCCAATATTTTCTCCTTTACTAGCTTGTAACAGGAAAGTGAGAAACGTGCAATCCACGGTGACAGCCGTGCTGACGGTGAAATCCCGCGATAACACCTTCAGCGTTTGTTTTATTCTTCGGACTGGAAAATATTGTCCTAAAAATGTCAGTTAAACTGGCCGAGGGTAGATTTCTGGTGTAGTGAAATCTGCTATTTGTCCAAAGGGCGGTTCAAAGGAAATAGTCACGAGATTAAAAAACCGTTTTTCCAAGGATTGACGGAATTTAAACCCCCGCTTTTTGTGAAAAAAAGCTTAGCTGCATTTTCTCTCTCATTCTTTAACCTTTTGTTTCCAGGTGACCCACTTTTGGAAAACGCTTAATGGGCTGTATTGACATCGCATTTCTTTATTTCCCACGGATCGGCGTAAACAATTTTTATGACGAAATTTATTCCAGAATAAAGAAACAAATGAAATTGTTTTTTTAAAAATGATTGAGTAAATGAGTAAATTTTAAAAGGCGAGAGTTTTCGTTTGTTTGCTCGTTTGTCAACTTCTTTAAATTGTGAAATAATAAATAAGTAGAAGTGCTGAAGCCAATCAAACACATATATCATGTTTATATTGTGTCAAAGATTATTGCTATGACTATTCAAAAAATTGTAATGATTTAGACTGCATAGATAAGCAATGGGCATACAAAAAATCAGAGAACCGTTTTATCTAAAACAATTCTTGAGCTTTACAAAATTTAATCTATTGCGAATTGTATACGTAATCAGTACATAATATTGTATGTATATGTGTATCTCTGATTCTCTCTCAGTTTTCAGCTATTGTTTCTCGCCACCAGTAACGTAATTTGTCTTTCACGATCCCAATGTACCTACTACTGTTTTACCATTCTCAAATCCTGCCCTAGTAGATTGTCACGCAGGATGTACAGTCTTGTTTTTACTACTCGCCCTTTGAGAACTTTTCCTATTTTATAACCTGACGGCGGTGTTATTCAACGGTAAACACTTTTCCCGAGGAGTTATCACGCGCATTGGAGTTTTTCCTTTTCTTGTGTGAAGATTCAACATGACCTGTTTACTCGGAGGGGGGGGGTCATTGTTTGCCGACCGCAAATATTTCCATCAATGGCTTAACTAAAAAAAAAGTTATTATAAGTCAGATTAAGTGTTTTTAACAGCATGTTTTTCCTGACTCAAGTTGAACGGCCATTTAAGAGTACTGAAGAAAACCGTGTTTTATTTATTTTTTGTATAATTTGTACAAAATTCAATATGAAAGAGAAAAAATATTGAATTGGCAGAAAATAACCACTAATATTATTTGATGAATGAAAAGATCACTTATCAAACTTAACCAATCAAAACTAACCAATCTCTGATTAATTACCAATCAAAATGGCAATAAAAATATAGTTAACACAATAAATTGATAATTTAAATTGGTTCAATAATGATTTTCCATTAAATTAGTCCTACA